AAAAAAAAAACCCCCGCCTTGAACACATCGGCCAAAGAGAAAACGTTATCGGCCAATGCCGATATTTGAAAAATGGCAGATATCGGCCGATATATCGGCCTTGGCGATATATCGGTCGACCACTACACGAGATGCGGTGATGATGATGTAAGTGACACTGTTGCATTTTAATGTTTTATTAGTCTAGCCCACCAGACGCGCAGTTGCTGCGTTATTCATTCAAAATATTAGAGAAATATAGAAGCTCAATGCGTAGAAGATCTTGAATGGGTTAAAACCGAAACCAAGCCATTCATACAGAACGCAAATTCAGCACATTTTTAGATGGACAAATATGACTGCTGCACTCGCGTCTCACACAAGAGATGTAGCCATGCAAAGTTAAAACAGTTTAAACTTTTAGAAAACACGTCGAAAATTTGTGGAGGTTTATTCCTTTTCTCTGCGTCTCATATATTTTTAAATGCAGTCTGTGTGAATGGCGCTTCGGCTCTTTGGATTAAGCAATGCATAAATACATGATACTGTTTTGTTCATAATTGATAATGCAATTTACAAAATTATATTCGATTTATATGAGTTAATTTAGACGTAATGCACGGTTTTTTTATAGACAGTTATTTCCTTGCGTTGACAATTTAATGCGCTGCATTATTTTGCTCATTGCGCCCTCCTGTGGCCTATTTAATCTGCATATAAAACATTAGAAATGAGATATTTGTTTAATTTTTATTTTGTGTTTGACTGTTAAAACAAAAAATATTTGCTTGTCTCAATAAATGTAATTAAAATGTAATTTTTCTGTAATTTAAAAATACAGTGGTTAAATTTAAAAAAGAAAAATTCTATTGCTCTTTGTTTTAAAAAAGGTTATTAAAATGTCAATAATTATCGATACCGAACGATATGAGACATTATATCGTTGATACATTTTATAGCTATATCGCCCAACCCTATGATCCAGTCAATGTGCTATTTATTCCCATCTTCCTCATATAAAGCAATCGCTGTATATATTGTGCTTTTATGCAGTTCAGTATCATCTCAGATCGATCCGAGCTTCACGCTCTCTGTGTGGAGTATTGATGAACAGCAGCGTCTGATCTCCACAAACAGAGCGTCTGATAGACGGACAATCGATGCACAAACCCACACACACATACTCGTAAACCTCACATCAGTCTGAAAAGAGCACGACTGGCCTGTTTTCTGCTTGGAAGAGATTCAAATGCAAAACTATCAAAGTCTCGGTCAATCAGGTGAAGCACGAGAGCGCAGCGTCCAATCAGAGAACGGTTTATCTGGTGTCTGGAGTCATTGCGTCACTTTCAGACGAGGATCGTGATCGTCATGTTTACTCAGATTCCTGCTCGTTCAGGGACGATATTCAGCAATACAGCCATTCTCCTTCAGTCAAACCACAGTCGAGGGACAGCTTCACCCCACAATTACAGTAACATTAAAACACATACAGATTCATCAGACTCATAACACAGGGAAGCACTACATAGAAATGTTTTTACTGTACTTTACTTGTTACATTAAACATTTTGAATCTAATTAACTTTTTTTATTCATAGGAATAAAAACAGTAAATACACTGATCTTTACTTAATATCCTAATGAGTTTTGGCATAAAAGAAAAATCTATAATTTTGACCCATACAATGTATTTTTGGCTATTGCTACAAATATACCCCAGCGACTTAAGACTGCTTTTGTGCTGCAGGGTCACAAATATAAGAGAGAGAGAGACCTAGAGTAATCCTCAGGACTGAGATAAAGAGGAAGATGAAGAGAGATAAGAGGACAAAAGCAGGGTCAGCTGAGCGCCGAGGGCCGAATCTGCAGATGAAAGAAGATCGATATATGTCTGGATTATGGACAGAATTACAGAGACCAGCACAGAGCTGAAGAAACAGCAGCGCCTGCAGAAACACAGACACACTTTCCTGGACCTTCAGGACTTAGTCTTCAGTTCTGCTGCGTCTGAGGATTAAGATGTTTGTGGACAAGAATCCTAATAAAACCCAGACGCTTGAGATGCTTGAAGCTCATGCCTTCACTACAGCCTTGAAATAAAGATCTAGTCTCAAGGCCGGATGTGATTTCATTGGAAAGCGTAGATGCTGTGATGAGAATTAATACTACAAACCGTCCGAGGATCCAGCATTATAACAGACAATTCATTCTGGGAAAACATTAATGACTATATCGCTGTGAGAACGAGCGTAATTTATCATGTGTACAGCCATATCTCCATATCTGACTAATGATCCGTCTTAAGACTTCATCAATAATTCCACATATGATATTATATTAACATATGAGCTCATATTGGTGTTTGATTATGAGCCTCAGCTGTCTCATGCATCATTAGTGCTAGTTACTTTACTAAGTGACCAGACGCACAGTTTTCACCTGCTGGATGATAAAACAGGTGAAAAAGAAATATGACAATAATAATAATAATAATAATAATAGTAAAAATTTATTTAAAAAAATACTATAATACTATTGTACAGTAAAATAAAATATTTATTATTCATACAATAATAAATTACTATTGTACAGTAAAACAAAATAATAATAATAATAATAATAATAATAATAATAAATTCTTATTTAAAAATCCTGCAATAAAAATATTATTGTACAGTAAAATAAATGATTTATTATTATTATTATTATTGTAATAAAAACATATTTTTATTTTATTAATACAAATTAAACAAATTACTATAATGAAATTACTATTGTACAATAAAATAAAAAAAATCTAACAAATGCTGCTGCTGCTGCTAACATATTTTTATTACATTATAAAAATAAACTAATTACTATAATGAAAATATTTTTTTGTCAAACAAAAAACAAGTACTAATAGTAATAATAACAATGTAACTAATTACTATAAAAAATACTATTGTAAAAAGGTAAATATTTTTATTTTTATTATTGTTGTTATTATTATTATTGTTGTTAAAATGTTTTAATTTTATTAAATTATAAAAATGTAAAAAATTACTATCGTAAAAATACTATTCTGTGTATAAAAAGGTATTTAATAATAATAATATAAATAACAATAATAATAATATTATATATTATATTTAGCTTTTTGTGCACTTCAGCAAAACTCAGAAACTCCTGACAGCACGCTTTCTCCCTCATTAAACTGCTAGACTTAAATACAAACCGTTTGTCTGATATGGAAGACCAAATGAATAATTTCTGCTGACTGGGTGACCTGTATTCAATACTTATTTTGCAATAACGGCCGATTATCTGTCACTTTATAGGCCTACAGTGGATCACATCCAGCATCAAAGAGGTACTGAGTGTTTGATTTCACAGTTTGTGCTGGATGAAGCAGGCTGGCTGCTAAATGAGCCGAGAGTCTCTCACATCTGCTGGAGAATCAGAGCGACTCCTGGTTTAGAGGAGCGCAGGGATTGAGAGCACTGTGGTTTTTAATGTGCCGTATCAATGGGCCATCAGCTCCACACCTGCTCTCCTGACATACAGCAGTCTCACGAGTCTCACGAGTCCAGCTCCTCACTTCCAAGGGAAGATCTCACAGCGATGGGATACGATGCAAAAGGGCCAGTGATTCTCATCAGTTCAAATCTGCATCAAAAGCCCTGCTCACTCCACACCTGCATCTCTGCGATTACAGCAAGACTTTCACCTGCTTTATACTGTAACTGCAGTCAGTCACAAACATGAAATACAAGATCCCTCATAATGCATTCAGGTCTGGAAGAGATACAAACATTTCTAAAATATGTATAATTTTTAGTAAGCGACCGAAACTTTGCAAATGCTTTAAGACCCTCAAAATACGCATTTTTTTTCTCCAGATTTTTTATAATTATTTTTCAAGAGATAAATAAACCGATGACATGTTTCATGTTCGGGTCATTTTGAGCCGGGTATGTATGGAGTATATTTGGTGTCAAAAATACTTTTGTAAAATTATCTATTAAGTTATATTAGTGTCAAAACACTAGCATTTTCCTCATATCTCACACTTTTGGACTGATTTTTTTATATATATAAACAAGAATACATACACATATTGAAAAAAACATTGCAGCATGAAAAACTGATCACTTTTTCCATCTGAAGTGAAAGTTTATGCAAGTAAAATGAATGTATTTTGTCTAAAAAACGTTTCAGAGTAATATGTATGTTGTGTTTATGTTTTGTTAGAAATAAATATGTAGGTTTCATAAATTTGGAATGTTTCTGAGCAATCATGAGTTACAAATTCAAAAGAAATTCCATTCCTTTTCTATGAATGATTATGTATTCATAGAAATTTCAAACACAATCTTTGAATTTTTCAGTCATTAATGAGAAGTTGCTGATCAGATACAATATGGTTTTAGTTGAAAAATATTAAGTTATGACTGTTTTATTTAATAGCGATTATTCGGGACCAAACAACGTAGACAACACCAACAATAGACAAAACAAACATTAGAATGATAGACAGAATGAATGTTAAAAAAATAGACCGAACGAATTATAGAATTATGCAATGATCAA